GCATTTACCCCCTTTTAAGCACTAACAGATAGCATCCCTCCACCCCCTAAAGCAACTACCATATAGGTTATTTTTGTTGTTGTTGTTTTTAGGTCATTTCATTGAAAAAATTGGCAATAGCAACAAGTATTAGATGAAGGGCTTTGTGTTTACAGATAAAATCTTTTGTGTTGCAGTATACTGTAGTGTTGGCAAAATTGGAAAAGATTTAATCAAAATACGGTGATACACATGCATCAAAATATTAGTCTTCCTCTTTTTTCAAGCGTCCTCTCTCATTTTACCTCAAGTAAAATGAACAAAAGCTAACATTTATTGAGCAGTTACTATGGACCAGGCACTGAGTCAGATGCCTTCATATATTTTTATTTTATTTTTTTAGATAACAAAGTCTCACTCTGTCACTCAGGCTGGAGTGCAGTGGCATGATCTTAGCTCACTGCAGTCTTGAAACTCCTAGGCTCAAGCAATTCTCCTGCCTCAGCCTCCTGAGTAGCTGGGACTATAGGCACATGCCACCACGCCTCGTTAATTTTTAAGATTTTTCTTTTTTTTTTTAAGAGACAGGGTCTCGCTATGTTGCCCAGGCTAGTCTCAAACTCTAGGGCTCAAAGACCACAGCCCACTTTGTCCTGCCTTGGCCTCCCTAAATGCTGGGATTACCGTGATAAGCAACCATGCCTGGCCCTAAATGCTTTCATTTAGTTGCTATAGGATTATGTGTAGAGCTGTTGTCACCCACATTTGACAGCTGAGAAAGCCGAGGCTTGTCCACAACAAAATAGAAAGGGACAGAGTCAGAAACATGCGTCAGCCATCACACTGAGGCCCAAGTGCTTGGCCACTGGGCTATACGCCTTCCAATCAGCTCGGTCACATGCCATACACAAGAAAAAGGGTGTGGGTAGAAGAGGGAATGACTTTTAATCTCCACATTAACTTCATAACCAAATAGGGGGTATTTCTTAGCATAATGGGCTGCTGCCAGTGGTGAAGAAAGAAAGGAAACAAAATAAAATATGGGCCAAATATTTGGCAATATGCATGTTGCCTCTTTGTTCTCATGATACCAATACCAATTCATTTCGAATGGGGGATCAGAATAATTGCTTAATTTGGGTGACTAAGGGTGCCAAGTGCTGCTTCTTTTCTTAGCTCTCACTACAATGAAGAACAATCCCACATCTAAGATGCAGTGTTCACAGGCTTCTGTAATTCCCCACCCAGTTTCTACTGTTTTTTTTTTTTTTTTTTTAATGAGACAGAGTCTCGCTCTGTCGCCCAGGCTGGAGTGCAGTGATGCCATCTCAGCTCACTGCAAGCTCCGCCTCCCAGGTTCACGCTATTCTCCTGCCTCAGCCTCCCGAGTAGCTGGGATTACAGGCATGCATCACCATGTTGGGCTAATTTTTGTAACTTTAGTAGAGACAGGGTTTCACTATGTCGGCCAGGCTGGTCTCCAACTCCTGACCTTGTCATCTCCCCGCCTCGGCCTCCCAAAGTGTTGGGATTACAGGCGTCAGCCACCGTGCCCGGCCCAATTTCTACTCTTCGTGAATGTCCTCGTGGCTATCTGACATTAATGTGGAATGTATTCACGTGGCTGGGAGGGGAGGATATGGGAGATACTTTGCTCAGTGTCTCATCAAAGCCTTTTTGTGCACAAGCGTCTCTTGTATTTAGGGAAAGCTCTGCTTTTTAAGCCCCTTTCGGAGTCACTTCCACGTTAATTAGTAAGGGTATCATTTTATAAATTACAGCTTCATATCAGAGGAAAGCAGAGTTTATCTTAATTCAGTCAGCTGTGTGAAACACAGTACCCTAATTTTAGCCCGCCGGTTCTGCAGATCCCTATGGAGTAAGGGAATGGCAGGTCTTCCGGAGAGAAATCCCAGTGGGTCCCCGACAAGTCTCACTTTTGCCTCCAACAGCATCCCTGGTGGGGCTTGCTGAAGGGATCCCAGGACACTGAGTGGCATCTTTTCCACCATTAGCAATTCAGATTCGAATGCGAATCCTCCAAGCAACACATGAAAGCAGCCCTGGTTAGCTCTGTGGCTCCGACGGGGGCACAGGCAAGAGGTTTCTTCACAGAGGAGGCTGACAGGGGCCCAGGCTCTGACAGAGCATAAGTCTTGGAGGATGGTGTTAAAGTTGGCGATAAACACCAGACAATCTCAGTCCAAAAGGTGAAGCCTGACAGTCTTCACTGCACCAGGGCCAAGCAGGTGCGAGGGCAATTCGAGTCTCAACGGCTCCCACTGGGAGCCCTCTAGAGAAATGGCATGGGGCAGAACAGAGACAGATGATGTGAGCGCTGGTTGTGGTGGGGCCCCCACTTAAGACCTGCAGGATCACCACAGTCGAAAGGAAGAATGACTGGGGGTGCGGGGCAGGAGATGCGCCATGGATCGGAGGAACACTCCTAATGCCCCTTCCCTTCCTACCATTGCCATTCTTGGACTCGCCTACAACCAACCACGTATCCGCTTTATTACCCTGAAATCAACTCAAGCTCAGAGTGGTGGGTGGGAGCTACCTTCCCAAGACCCATTATTCTGACACTTTGCTTCTTGCACTTAGAAATGGAAACCTAGGCAATAACTACTCAGGAACTCAGGTGATGGGAAAGGACCTGGTGGGGTGCTCTCCGTATTGGTCCCCAGATCCCTCTGACAACCAGAGGCAAATTACTTCTAGAAATTACCAGAGTTAGGTGATCATCAAGATCCATGGTTCAAGACAGCTCTAAAGGCTCCGAGGTCATTGACCTGGGATGAGGCCCTGGCACTGCAACTTGTAGTAGCTCCCCAGGTGATCTGGGTGTCAAGGTTGAGACATTTACAAGGAATGGTGAAGACATTTACAAGGAATACAAACCTGGGCATCCTTACCACCTTCTACCACTGCTGAAGACTGGTGATGGTTTTGGAATTCACATTTCCTTTTTTTTTTGAGATGAAGTCTCGCTCTGTCACCCAGGCTGGACTGCAGTGGCACGAATTCTGCTCATTGCAACTTCTGCCTCCCAGATTCAAGCGATTCTCCTGCCTCAGCCTCCCAAGTAGCTGGGACTACAGGTGCCCGCCACCACGCCTGGCTAATTTTTTGTATTTTTAGTAGAGACGGGGTTTCACTGTGTTAGCTAGGATGGTCTTGATCTCCTGACCTTGTGATCCACCCGCCTTCGCCTCCCAAAGTGCTGGGATCACAGGCATGAGCCACCACACCCGGCCCCACATTTCCTTTTAAGGAAAGAATGTCAGCTTGGTGGTACAACCCTCAATAAGATTTATCCTTTTGGAAAAGTGGCACAGGCTTACAAAGTGAGATCAACCATTGCTGATAGATCTGGAAGGGCTAGAAGGTACCAGTCCCTCCCTGGGTACCAGTGATGCCCACCATGTGGGAATGTGGCCTCAGGGGTTGGGGGGCCAGTGACCATGTCTTGAACACTGAACCATTACTGCTGTGCACTACACACTGGCTGCCTGAGACACCAGGGGTCCTACTTCCAAGGAGCTAAGGCTCCCGGGGGCTGGAGGAAGGAAGCTCCTACTTGTCAGTTAAACAAAAGAATAATCCACAGCCCCCTTTCCAGTGTGTACTTTCGCTGTCATCCAACAGCCCATTACCATGTCACAGCATAGCACACCCTTCCATAGGTCACTTTGTTTAAAATGACATGGATAATGCACATGTCAGCAAGCTGACAGTCCTGGCCGTCCTTCAGAGATAAAAACCTCAAGGCGAGAGCCTGTTCTTATCTGGGGGACATGCATTGGTCTATCATCCAAGTCAGGCAGAACATGATTTCTCCAGAGAGCACTTTTTTCATTTCCTGATTTTAAGGAAATCAAATAAGCACCATTTGTCTTCATCTGAATATGCTTGACCTGCTCAAATGATGATGTCTCGCATTTTATAACAGGCTACATATGCTGAATTCAAATTAACGACAGTACAGAACAAGAGCCTTTAGATCTCTCTTGGAGGCTGGCAGCAGAGAAGGAGAGAAAAATTCTGGGTTTGTTGGAAAGAGCCCACTAAATACTAACCGCAGCATTCTGAATAAAATCCGCAAGCATGTAGGAGGTGAAAGTCAAAGCACAGGGCACAGGACAGATCCAGAAACGGGGGAAGGGAGGCCGAGTCCATCCTTTTGAAGCCAAGCAATACAGAAACCATGATATTCAGGTAACTCTTCTCGAAATAACACAAAGCGGCAGTATAAATGGAAGGAAATTTGGTTGGGGACTGGGACAGCTAGAAGGAAAGACCAAACAGATAAATAATCCCTTTGCTTCAGGCAGCAGAAAGATCACTTTACCAGGTTGTGATCCAATCTTCTGGAACCTCAGAAACTGAGTTCCTTTTCTTGATCCATGTTGATCTGGATACACAGAGGCTGGTGCCCATGAGCCTCGAAACAGAGCATGTACCTGCTGGAAGAACTGTCCTCCTACCTGGCTGTCGGCCCCGATGGGAAGAGAGCAGTTCCCATCGGACCTCCTTTGCCCACCCGTACCCCATGATGAGACTCCTAGACACATACCATTAACATTTCTATCAAGAAGGCCAATAGGTACAGAAAAGCATATGGGTCAGTAAAATAAATGCAGAAATGACATTATAAATGCATACTAGCAAGTTTAATGTTCTCATCATGGATTTTAAAAAATCAGATGGTTATTAAAATAAATAATTTTATCTTTTAAAATGTTTTGGGGTCTATGAGTCATCTTCCATAAAGTAAAAACTCAGTGTCATATATATGCAATATTAAAGGTCTTGTTTAAAAAAAAAAGTAGATCTGACAAATTAAACGTGTCATAGCATAGGAAATGTCACTGTGTGAATTATGCCCATCTTTCCTAAAGAGAAAAGGTCCTGTCAACATGAAGTTGGCATCCCACCCTGTAGCTGTGTGTGGGAGGACTCTGGTGTTCACAGTCTGTTATGTGCTGTGCCCACAATGCGGGGGTGGGGGGGCGTCTTACCTTCTCTTCCTGGTCACTGTCACTGTCACACTGAAAACGAAGACAAGAGAATAAGGGTTAGTGTAAGAACTGAGTATGTTTTTGCTTTTGATGCCTCATCCCCCAACCCTCTTACAAAAAAAGTGCAAGATAAGTAAAGGAAATAAAAAATATTGTCTTCTTGGAAAGAAAGAGTTTCTTGAGCTCAAGTGCTAGTAAACAGCATCCGAAACAAAATGCTATCCAGATGCAAAAAAGGTGTTTTGTTCATTTCATCTGATGCCTGTACTCTGTGGTTCTTCCTCAGGTCAGTCCAGCAAGGTGCTCAAACATACAAGTGAGTGCTTCCCTCCCACCACAGCAGGGTAGAGGCGATGCCCCTCTAGGAGTCAGCCACAGGATTAAGGTGAATCAAGATTGTTCAATGAAATTCAGAGCAAAATCAATTTCTTAACGAAGACATTCTATCTTCAGCTAATGTGAATGGCTGTATCTCTCCCGGTGCTTTTCTACAGGAAAAGAGGTAAACCTCTGGGCATCGTAGTCGCTCATTTGAACTTTGAAGGAAACAGAACATAATGGCCAAGGCTCACCACTTATTATGGCTGCCTTTTCCAGTTTAGAGGCCCAGAGAATAGAAGGAACACTCCCTATAAAAAGTATGCTGAAGACAAGAGGTCAGGGTAGTAAATAAAAAATATGGGCAAACAAATATGCTTTAGGGCCACAGACTCAGATCATATCAACAGATCCCAAATTCCAACCATTTAGTTGGTTTGGGATAAGCAGAGTGATAATTAATAATTAACCCCAATCTTTGGGTTCCTCGCGATAAGCAAAGGAAAAAAGAACATAACCTAAAAAAAATGAAGTGTTTTGCTAATTCAATATTCGATGAAAAACTGGGGGATGTGTTTCGTTAGAGTAAAGCTCAGCAGATAAATATATCCATTCATTCACTCAATAGCCCTTGATAAGGAACTGCTAAACTAGACTGAAATTCACCTGAGATACAGGCCTGGCTCTCAAGGAGCCTTCCGTTTAGCAGTAAGACATGAAGTTGGGATACAGACACTAGCAGGGGTGTGGCATGATCAGAGCTGCTTCCATGAGGATGACTTTCTGTGGGACCATGGAGAGAGTGCACAGTGGGGAAAAAACAGGTCACAGGGAGAGCAGTTTGGCAGCCATTTCACTGTCTAACCCAGGGTGGTGCCATGGTTTAGGAAGGGAGAAGCAGATGGCAGAGCAATTCTGAAGGTAGAACCAACAGGATTTGATAACACATGTATATGGGAAGCAAGTAACAGAGATGCAACTAGGATGATGCCAAGGTTTTTTAGCGTGGCCACCTGGACATGTGAGTTGGTACAGCTTTGAACAGAAACAGGAAATAAATTTGCTCGTAGGTGGCCACTGCTGGCTAGATCCCCACAGCCAATCACAACTCCCTTCTCCCTAGTCTGTACCTTCTCCTGACACTCTGAGGTTAAAAATGCCAGGTACTTTCTTTCCCGATTTTTCTTGCAGCTAAAGGCGGGAAAAGAGGTAAACCTCTGGGCATCGTAGTCGCTCACTGGAAGACCCATCTTTGGCCAATGAGATTCTGAAATCTGATGAGGGCTCTAGAAACAATTTTGTCTCCCCAGTAAACAAAGAAAAGAAGGAACCACCTGCCTCTGGCCTTTGAACATGAGTGTGTAAGAACATGATGTCTGGATATGTAGCAGCCATCTTGCAAAAATGAGGCAAAGAGACTCAGTACAAAAACAACAGAGTGGGACCAAGGGAAAAAAGCCTGACAGAATTGGACCACTGAATCCATCTCAGAGCAGCCTGCCTCAGGACTTTTATTCAGAAAACACTAAGTTACCTTATTGTTTAAGCTCCTATTAGAGAGCTTTTAATGGGAAGTAACAGAACACCCATCTAAATGGACTTCTTGCTATTATGAGACAACCTGGGGACTACTTATTCTTTTCAGACTAAGCACTCTGTACAAAAAGCATCTAGGAACTTATATCACAATCTTATAGGCTGGAGGATTAGAACATTTTCTACTTCTCCCATTGGCTCCTCAGTGCCACAAGTTAGTCAGATATTCAGTGACAGGGATTTAACCAAGTCCAATGCATCATTTCCAACCCAGCTTCCAACCTCAGACTGTCTACATTTACATTCTTTGACCTGATGAGTAGTTTCTTTATTACAATAAGTCAAATGAGCTGAGAAAGAAATGGGAAGAGATGAAGACTTTGAAGCCCTAGAACCGCAGGTGGATGAGGAACAATAGTGTCCTGATTGTGTGATCTCTCCATTGCCTTTAATTAAGCCCTCTGTGAGGTTCCTAAGACCCGGGCACACTTTCAAGAGTGACAATGCACAATTCAGGAGGGGTGTGGAAGGCAGAAGACTATTTTGCCAGGCAGGCTTATGTTCCCAGATGTTCATAGCGCTCCTTGTGAGGTAATCAATGACAGCTGAAGGCTGTGGCATGGCATTTGCCCACCTCCCCAAGGATCTGGTGTGCAGGGAGGAGGAGGAGTGAGGTAGTTGGGAAAGAACCACCACTGTGCCCCCTATCCTAATGGCAGTATGTCCCTGGGAATGGTTATTTCTATCAAAGTGTTAAGCTTCCTGCTTTCCAACAGTCCAGTTCTAATTTCAAGGTCCACTTAATTCTGCATCAAGTAATTACTGATCTACCCAGAAGCACCTTGTCTCCAGAGTTAAGCATATGGTGAAGAACCGAGACCTACTGGTATCCATTATGGAAGCAGCACGGATGCCAAGCCGATTAAAAATGCTCAGGCTCCCCACACAACATGCCGGGTGAGTGACAGCTCCTCGACAAGGCCAGTCGTGGAGTCTGCCAAAACAGTCTCTGCTGCACTGGGGTCCACATGGTGTGCTGAGAAAACAGTTCCATTTCTGGTATTAAATTCCCATACTGACCCGAGGACTTTGCCGTGAGCTCAGCAGGAGCGCACCATCCAATTTACAGCTCCACTCTCTGGAGCCTCGAGTGCCAGCCCCTGGCAGAGACGAATGATGGTCAACTCCTCCAGCTCATAAATTATGCAAAGGCAATAAATGCACTCAGCAAACAGCGCCTAACGTTTGCCTTGCCTGGCTCCTAACACACTCTGTAAAAAGCCAGAAGCTCGACACATACAAGAGGTCTATTGCACTCATAAAGGGGGTTTGTTGACAACCCCAGACGGAAAGCGAGCCGCAGTCCTAAGGAGTCTTTCTGCTTCACTGGCAGCGGTTTATGGGCCTGCTTTATGAAAAAGGGAGGCTGTTTTATAGAGTCAGTGTGGGTAGAATTCATGGCCTCAAATTCACATTTAATACACTGTACAGCTTTCACACCCTAAGTTCAACACACTGTGGATTTTTTTGGCCAAATGATTCTTGGTCTTCAAAGGTTAAAAGAAGTGTCTGCTCCTCGATCCCTAGATACCCACTCCAATTTATAAGAGTTCACATTGAGCCACCTCCTGATGCAGGTTTATGTTCTGCATGAGGCTGGGAAATGGAAAAGGCATGTCAGATGCAGAGACGGGGTCCCAGCAGATTTGACCATTTTAAGCATTTTGACATAGGGGTCCTGCTTTGGTTTATTAGCAAACAGGTTGCACACTAACTACCAGCTTGAGGTGACAGAGTACTCTCCATGACAAGATTTCAAAGCCCGCTTGAAAAGCTAAAAATATTTCCTCCATTTTAAAAGCAAGAAATGAAAAGAGACAAAAAGGAACAACCAGGTCTTACAGCAATGACAGGTAAGAATTCCTGGTCACCCGGTCTTCAGACAAAGACATGACCCGAACCATCACAGACAAAAGGAGAGAAAGAAGAGGTGTGCGCGCCAGGCCACAGGCCTCAAATGCACAGTTAGAAAGGGACTAGTTCCTAAACCTGAGTCCCTCCAGCCATCCCAATACTGCAACTGCTCAACTCCATCTTCACCGTCTCCTCCCCTGGTTTCATGAATCAAAAGTGAACTGCTGGAGGCACAGTCTTCCTTTCCCAGACAGGTCTTAACTCTTAAACAACCAACCAACCAACCCACCCAGTCTTTCTCCTTTTGAAAATACAGATTTATGGCTGGGCAACGGGGCTCACGCCTGTAATCCCAGCACTTTGGGAGGCTGAGGTGGGTGGATCATGAGGTCAGGAGTTCGAGACCAGCCTGACCAACACGGTGAAATGCCATCTCTACTAAAAATACAAAAATTAGCCAGGCGTGGTGGCATGCGCCTGTAATCCCAGCTACTCAGGAGGCTGAGTCAGGAGAATCGCTTGAGCCTGGGAGACGGAGGTTGCAGTGAGCCAAGATCGCGCCACTGCATTCCACCCTGGGCAACAGAGCAAGACTCCGTCTCACACACAAGCAAAGAAACAAAAAATCAAAAAAAAAAAAATTTTACTGGATACATTTTTAAAAAAATTACCCATAAATCTACAATTCTTAGGTAAACACTTAATACATTTGTGTAAGTCTTTCCAGCCTTAAGGATATAATCCCCCTCATCTTTCAAACATACATTTTAGGAAATAAAAATGAATTCCTACCATTTTGGAACCTGCTTTGGTTTTCACATAACACGTCAAATATTTTAGTTTAATCAGTAAAATTTGTCCTGCAACATCACTTTAAAAAATAGCGACACTGCAATCTGCTGTGTGGATTGTAACATAATCTAATAAAAATATTCCCCAGTGCTGGGTATTTAGATTGTTTCAATTGCACATCCTAGAATTTTTCCCTTTGCACCCATTCACCAATATTGCTGTTTGTGACTCTCTTTTCAAGGCCCTTCCTTTTCTGCATATTCTTTAATGTCACTGTCTCCCCAGAGTTGCATCTGGAGTTCTATTGTTTCTATGTGACTTTCAAGGGAGTCCTTAAAGATTCCCTTGGTCCCTTCTACCATGTATATGCTGAAACTCAAAAATCTCTATGCCCACATTTGCCAGATGTGTAACTTTGGAAAAGTTATTTAAACTCTCTGGGCCTTAGTTTACTTGTCTGTAAAATATGG